TTACTAAGAACATGTAGAGAATCAGTGATCTGCATGCTTTTCATTGGTTTTGAAGTCCAACAAAATGAGGAGCACATTATTTTGCTGTGCAGACCATTGAAAGCTGTAGCTGGCCACAATTGTTTCCTAACTAACCCAATAAAAAATTGTCATCAGCTAGGGCTACAAAAATTGTAATTTTTTTTCCGTTCAGTTGTCAAACAAGGAAAGCATTTGTCATAAAAATGGGACAGAGAAAAATCTGAGTCATCCACTGTGATGCAAAGCTCAAACTTAATGATTTTGTGATGTGATGACTGATCATTAGTGAACTCCATGCCAAGCTAAGCCATGTACCAGTAGTAGGTTCTGATATGACAAGCATCCTGTTTTTGCTAAGCTTGATGGCATTGGGTGTTTTGTTCTTCAACAGGAAAGATGCCTCTATTTTTTTAGCTTGTAATAAATACACTGTACTCAACATCTTTTTCAATACATCAGTAACATGTTTTACCTCTAACATGGCAATTAATTCCTGTTTTGAAATTCCTATTCTTTCTTTATCCATACTGTCTACCACATATATAATAGCATCTGTGTTAGAGTAGTAACATCTCCAGTATGGCCTGTAATAAATAACACAAACATTACATATCGTTTGAATTATGAAAGATGTGATTAACACTGCTAATCATTAGAGCCTTGGAAAGTTAACTATGCACAGGAAAATTTGTGACAGGAGCAAAATGATATTCAGAACATCAGCTCTCAAAACTGCTATAACTACTACAGCAACCTTGCTATAAATTCTCAAATTAAAGAGACTGATACTATTAAGATTAAATTCAGTTGATAGATAATATAGGCATGCTTAATGGTATTTAAAAAAATACTTTTATGTTACATTGTTTGATGTATGATAGGTCCCACATTTCAAGCATTGTCTCAAAATGAGTTCTTGAACAAATTCTGGGGCACTCCTTTTATAACTAAAAATTAAGTTCACATACCTAATGCTTGTTTGCCCTAAAAATAACAAAAAAAAAGGTTGATTATTCTCGTCAAAGCTTACAGGTTAATGTCACAATAAATCTTAAAATGATCCTTAGAGACAAAACAGGCATTATTTTTTCTTACAGACAGTGTCACTACCATCATATTATTTATCTTACCTCCTAGATCCCACACTGTTTGAGGAAAGAAAAAAATGTAAATCAGTCTATATTGCTCTAATGTCCCAAGTCCATTATCCCCATTCAAAGGGCAAACCCATGTAATTTGATTTTCAGAGCACTTTCCAGTTGTCAGAAATACAAAATTATAGAGAAAGTGTGGGCTGATCGAAACAAAATTAAGGAAAAAAAATTCAAGGCCAAAATTCCAGAAATAGTAAATGTTCAAGTCATGATGGGTTTTTTTTTATAATCTGATTGTTTCAGAGGGTAGTGAGACTTTTCATGCACAATTTCTGATCTAACTGGGGCAAAATCAAGACAATCCCAGAATTCTTCCAACACCCAATTGCTCTGACTTTTGCTACATAACTTCATCTTGATACTAACCAAAATATCAAATATTTTTAATTAAAACAGTCACAGCTACAGGCTGTAACATGCTTCCTCCCTCACATCTAACATGGCATATTAAACACGACATATCATTATTGCACAAGTTTTTCCACTCACCTTGAAATTTAAGGTTTTTATATGTAACTGTCTCAACATTAAATCCTATTGCTGTTGGGGAAACAATGAGAAAATTAAGTTGTAGATGTCATCAAAGACACAGCAACCCTTGATTTACGTTAATCAAATTAGCAGAGTGGACTGAAGATTCTGAAACTGAGAAATGCTACTTAAACTCAAGCACAATTAGATCCTAGGCTAAGTTAAAATTCAAAACTTCTGGTGTGCTAATTTTGAGCTTGTTGTTACGCCAATATCACTCATAGCTTACTTGGAATAGTTGTTACGACTTCTCCAACTTGTAGCCTGTAATTGGAAAGAAATTTAAAGACATAGATAAGGCCATTTAAACTAGCCTGAAATTGCGAAGATTTCTAGATATCATGGCTTAAAAACTCACCTGTACAAGATCGTAGTTTTACCGGCTCCATCTAAGCCTAAAATAAGGATCCGTAACTCCTTCTGACCAAACAATGACGAAAATAGACTAGAAAAGAAACTCCCTGAGGAGAAAACACATCAATCTCAGTAATCAGCTAAACTGTCTGTCTTAAAGAGGGCAGTAAACTTCAAACATACCCATTATTGCTGAATGCAAAAACAGTGAAAACTCACGGCTGATTGCGTGGCTATTTCTGTGGAAAAGACGTCGTATATGTCAACTCGTAATGTAGCGAGAGAATTATCATCTGTCGATTTTGGAATGAATGGAAAAACATCTCCCCAATAATTTCTCTAGAAAAGGGTCAGACGGAGTAAGACAATTTCTTCATCATTTCCCGATGTAATGAGACATTAATGTGGGCACCGCTGTAATTATAAAGGGATTGATTGTATCAATCGGGGTCATCTGTAGTGAAAAAAAATAAGTACACATTGATGATGTTTTATAGAATCAATTTTTCTTTTCAATTGACATCCGCTGACAATGTAACCTGGATTTCGTGCAATATGGCGGCAAATTTGTAGGTAGATAGGTCCCCGAGAAATACAGTGGTTATGATGTTTAGAGAGTGACTTGAATCTAAATAATAAAAGAATATAAAAAAATCATGGAGGGAGAGCCAGCCACTGAAGAGAAGCCAAGTGCAGAAGAATGGCCTCTGGAGAGGGCTGAGGTTGGTGCTTAACTTTAATTTCGTGAATTTTAATTTGTAATTGTTGTTCAGTAGTGCGAGTTTAATCCTCACTCGCGATTTGCAATAACTATTTCTCGGTTGGTGGGAGAAGAGCGGCAGGTATCGGTAAAATTTCTGCACAGCCCCATACTATTGTGAAACAAATCTGTCTCCCCAATGGCAATCTATTGTTTTTGTCATTGTTTTCTCTATCCAAGAACTGAATGCATAATGTCGTATGGGGCTGTGCGGAAATTTTACCTTTACATGGCTCAGAGGCAAGGGGAAATAAAACAACAGAAACCAATTATCTTTTTTTCATTTTGATTTGATCAGGCTGCAGTTCAACAACTCTATGAGTTCAGAGACCATTACTTTGAACACAATTCAATTGAGAAGGCCCCACTAAAGAAGAAGGAAACTGAGCAAAAGTTGAAAGAGACTCTGAACATTCTGGACCATGTACAGGGTAAGGATAAGTCTTTTTAAACCTTTTCTTATTTGATTTAACCTTTTAACTCCCAGATCTCATTATAATTCTCTTTACTGTTTGTTATACAATCCATATAATGTTAGTTTGGAGAATTTTTTGTATGATCATCTTCTAACTCCTTAACTTATATTTTTCTTTATTCTCATCACTTGTCTGCTTGATATTGTATTGATATTGTAGAGAGAAATTCTGTCTTGAACAGCCATGGGATTTAAAGGGTTAAAGTCATTTTTTAATATAAATTATAATGAAATTGGTAGTGTCAATAGTTAATAGCTTAATGTTGTAACCAGGATTATCATTAGAAAAGTAGCAGGTGTGTGATCTGAACTGATTACTGTGATTAGGGGCTGAATTGAATTATGAATGTATAGTAGGCATGGCATGTTGCTTTGTAACATGCTGTTCAAGGGTATTCATGGACATGCTTTCTCAGAAACTTTCCGAAAGAAGTGATTTCCAGAATTCTCAAGAATATATGATAATCATTTTCTATCTTTGATCATAATTTACAAACTAAAGGTGTTGCTGGTGCAAAATGGTCTGATGAGCAGCAGGCTTCCACCAGTTACCAGCTTCCTATGACAACCCTGTTGTGAACTTTTTTCCTCAATTTGGAATTTATTTAATGAAATATTTTTCCTTGCCGTTGTAGCCCAATGCGAGGAAACAGCCAGATGTCTATTTTTACGAGGGAAGGCCTTGAATGTGATGCCTGATTATGATCCTTTGGCTCAAGATTCTCTGTCAAGAGCCGTCAAGCTGGACCCGAAACTAGTTGAAGCTTGGAATTGCCTGGGAGAGTGTTACTGGAAGTATGGACAAGTTGAAGCAGCCAGAAACTGTTTTGTAGGAGCATTAAATCATGTGAGTTAAAAGACACATGTTGATTTGACAGCCTATTTTGGGCGATGGTTTTCATGAAGTGAGAGAGACATAAGAAAATACTCTTGTAAGGGATTGTAACCAACACAACACTGAACTCACTTGGTCCAGGAGTCAAACCCTGGACACAGCAAGGTGGGGTGAAGGCCTTCAGAACTGCACCATTCTTGCTCCCAAGTACTGGGTAGTATGAGTCTATAACTCAAATTTAAGACACACCAATTTTCGTCCTTAGGGAAAGAGCAAGGAGTCTTTGAGGAACTTGTCAATGGTGTTGCGACAGATTGGGAAAGGTGAAATAAAAACAAACCCTTGTTACCATAAGCATGAGAAAATCCAACCCAAGTTTAAGATATTTGTCAATGAGGGAAACATAATTTCACAGAACTTGAATTGTCAGGAGAACAGCTCGCTGAAAAAACACCTTAGTTTATAAAAAACTGATGAAGAGTTGGGCTGCATCATTTGAATAATTTTTACCCATAAGCACTCTCTAAGGTTTCTGTTAATGTCCATAAGTGATAAACACAGGAACTAATTTGTTTTTAATGCCAAAAGAAACTTGGCAATAGCTCTTTCACTTATGAGTTAGTTTTAAACAATAACCAGAGTTGGAACAGTTTCCAAGTTTTGTTTTGGAGAACCTAGTAACTTTCTTAGATTTAGTTGATTTTGTTGAAAAATTTAATTTTCAGATCAAGGTGAAAAAGTAGAAAATGTCAAAATGAGTGTAGAGAAAGCAAAAGAAGCAGTGCAGTGTGATGTTAAGGATGGAATTTCTTGGTGTGAGTGGACTTATTATTAAATATTAATCATTGTAAATGATGATAAGTGACAAAAGTTGTAACTATAAGATTAGTTGTATTTTTATATACTCCTCTGGTAGTATCACATAACTTGCATTGTGATTGGCAGTTCTCATAACCACAAACATGATGGGGGTGCATTATTGTATGGGAATTTCTTCTTTGTTTGTGAGAAAAAAATTTTGGAGAAAAAATCTTTCCACTCGAGGGAGTGAATAGATGCCAGCAAATTTTTAGGGAAACATTATAAATATTAGTAATTGAATGATAAATGTCTTTAATTATTGATGGGCTGGCAGGTGTTTTTTTCTTCAATTTTTTTGGCAGACCATTGTCAAGGTATTTTCATCTCCAACTGACATGCCAATGTTCATTTTGTTTCAAAGACGTACTTGGCAATGCCTATCTCTCCCTCTTCTTTTGTGGATCACAGTCTCCTCAGCTGATCAAGCAGTGTATGACTGCATATTCACAAGCGGTAAGAATTCCATATTAGTTTAAAGCCTTAAAACTACACAGTGTATGGTTACTGTTGGTCATCAAACTGAAACCTGACCTGTGAGCACCTTTCCCTTACAGGAGAATTAGGTCAATTCTGATACTGATAGTGAAATGAAGTCAATAAGACATGTACACATTTCTTTTCATCTTTTGATTCTGTAACTGACACTGTAACAAATCTCTAGCCTAAAGACATGATCAACATCCATACCCTTTCTTTAAATGGGACCCTGACCCCACCCTCTTATTTTAGCTTGTTCTGATTAATTTAGTCTGATGAGCTATTCCTTTTTTTTCCTGTTATTGAATTTTCTTTGATTCTGACCATTTAATGGTGTAATTTTATTAACAGTATAAAGACCCTGTAGCACAAAACAACCCAGATCTACACTTCAATCAAGCAATGGTAAGACACACATCAGTATAAAAATTAGTATTAAGATTAGTTAAAGATTGCTAACTTAACTCTTTCCACCCTAACATTAGCACTCATATTCTCTATACTGTTCTCTTTACATTTCCTATGGTGCTGACAAGGAGAATTTGTTTGATAATCAGTAGCTTCTTAAATTGGTGATCATTTCCTTTATTGTCATGACCTCTGCATTTGATTAAGGGTGTTACTGTAAGAAGTATAGAAACACCTCGTAATTCAGTCTTCGGACTGCAAGGTGTTTCTTTTTAATAAACGATTTATCTCTCTCTTTAACAGAAACAGACCATGAGATGACTCTTATACTTTCCTTGTTGTAAATAAGTGATATTTGATCTTTTTTTCTTAAACCTTGCTTACCTAGCTTTTCTCTTGAACTTGTTCTTAAACTCAGGAGGTAACAAAATGGCAAATATTAGCCATATTATTACTTCCATTTCAGCAATACAAAGACAGCGAAACTTTGTGGCTCAGAACTGTTGCAACAACAGCGGTGTCTCAGCTTTAGGCAATTTATCCCTGAAGTATACTTTGTTTTACCCAGTTATGACCAACAATATAGAACAATGGCTATAAATATATGAAAATCATACATGTGCACTTTGGTTGAAGAAACGAATATAGAAGCAATCCTTGCAGCTATGAACACTACTGAACTAATGGTTGAAATACAGGCCTGAATTTTTTTCAGTAGTGTTCATAGCTGTGAGGATTGCTTCTATATTCATGTTTTCAACATCAGTGCACATATATGATTTTCATATATTTACAGTCATTATTCACCACTTCAAAGGGTTATTTGGATCCAACATAATGACCAGCTTCCAGTTGGCTTGTTAGCTCAGTTGGTAGAGCACTGCACCGGTATCACAGAGGTCATGGATTCAAATTCCATATGGGCCTGAATTTTTTCCAGGCCTTATTTTAATTACTAGTTCAGTAGTGTTCATAGCTACGCGGATCGCTCCTATATTCGAATATAGAACTATTTTGTCAGAGAAGGTTGATTCTATCATTCAGGTTTCCTTTTAGGCATACAAATACCAGGAGGAATATAAATTAGCCATAGATGGCTTCAAAAGGGCTGGCATTTTAGACCCAGGTTGGATGGAACCTGGTGATGAGAAACTTAAGCTGCTGAATATCTTAACAAAAACAATTGACCTTGTGGAGGGAAAGGTAGGAACTAATAAACTAATAATTCTGTCTGAACGTAATAGTGTTCTCATTGTCTCACTGTGCTTTTCCTTCTTCATTCTAAATTAACATTTTTACAACAACAATTATTTCATCTTCTCTATATTTATTACAGGGTAAATTGAAAGGCAAGAGGCTCCACTCCATGGTACAGTCCTTGGGTCCATCAGATTTGGGCCCATATGGTGGTGGTAGTTACACCAGTCCATCAGGTCAAACAGTCCAGCTTGATCATATTCCTGTTTCCAAACTAGTTTCTGGCTCAAATCATAACAAAGTGATTGTTGGCAAAGTTGTGGGCTCTGTTCCAATGGATGATCCAGTGCCATAGTAAGTGTTTCAGATGGCAAAAATAGAGAGTTTTATTTTACTCTTAAGATGTGATTTGTATTTTCTGGTAAATTGGTTAATAAGAAAGACTGGTCCTGCAACAAGTTAACACTCCTTACCAATGTGTTTTACATTTTCTTGTCACCTGTTTAGTGGACGGTAAATTGATGTTGCAGGGGCAAATTGCATTATAACCATTTAGAGGTGAAATGTGAATGACAACAAGCAGAAAAATATTTTGAATAAAAATGCATGAAATTTTGAAATAATAATGCAAATGATAATGAATATTTGCTAAAAAGAATGTTGCATTGTTGAGGTTGTGGATATGAATTATTTTCTGCATTGGAAGTCAGTTTGTATGCCACACTTCTGGTGTCTTTCTTGTTATAAAACCATCTTGTTCTAAAAATTTTTTCCACTTCTTATCATTCACATTTCACCTGTCAAAGACTGCAGTTCAGGCAGTTGAAAGCTCATTATTTTTTAATTGTTTTAGCCAGAGATCATTCTGGAAATTTTTTTAACATGTTTCATCCTGGCTGTGGCCCTTCAACATTTTCACATTAATAGTGCACCTATAGAATGTTACTTGTACAGTACTGTGGTGGTTACATATTAAATTGATTTCATGACAGTAGTTTATCATGACCAGATTCTGTTGTTCTCAGTATCTTTGCCCTGGTGGATGGTGAAGATCATTGTATACCAGTAACTGTTTACAACATGGCAGCAGGAGCTGGGTTTGCAGTTGGTGACTCTGTTGCTATCCCTGAACCTTTTTATCAGGAAACTGATTTCTCTGAAAAGGATAAAGTAAGTGTATATCTCATCTTAAGATTTTGTAATTTTGTAATCGCTGCCAGGTAAAACCAACTAAGAACTGCTTATGATTAAAATGTGACTATTTCTTTAAGTTAATTTGCTAATCAGCTTATTGAACCGTTTTCACCTAGATATTCAAGTTTGCTTCGATTCGTGTCGACAACCCTGTAGTTTTGGTGGCAAACAAGAAGAAACTTGGCTCTAACAGACTAGCTCCATCCACTCTTTTGGTTTCTACAAAAAGCGAGTGATTGATCCATAGCATATCTTTGTGAGGAGGAAAACTGTTTCCAGTGATGGACCGGTTAGATACAACAACACAAATCGAACAGAACTCGTTTCGAATTTATGAATTTACTGAGTTAGGTGTGTGAAATGTGTGTCAATGACAGACGTCAGTCAAGCAACCACATTTATAAAACCTTATGGAAAATTTCCTCGAGGATTTACTTTTATCTATTTTATTCGACTGAAGCACAAAAATTGCGTGTTTTCACTGGTTTTAAGAAAACAAAATCCGTTTTCACCTCTTGACATCATTACCTTGTGAATAAGGCCCCGTTTTACCACCATTGCCTCTTACTTTGAAAGAAGTCCACGGTAAAACAGAAGGCATATTACGACTGACGAGCTTGCAAATAATAGGGATTCGAGAAGGAGAAAATAATTGATATCCCACATAACAAAGATGAACCCATATTAATGTGTAACTGGATTATGTTTCATAAATATTCTTAAAAAGAAAGGATACACGATTATTTATTAATTTCTTGAGAAATCTACACTCAAATTGACTCAAATAACCTCAATTTGTGAAAGAGTTCATAACGGTTATCGTCTCGAAATAGGCGGCCACTATATTTTTTAAAATCATGGCCAGCGTTGGCGTGGAGTAGACAATATGATTTGTGAATATTTTTCATGGAATTAATTTTATTCATGAAGCCCTCCTGCAACATCTGAAACTGATCTGCGACAATTAAAATGCTGTCGTGCGGATTTTTTTAAACTTAAAATTTTGTTACGATTTCAAAAAGAAATTGTGCAATTTTTCGTCGATGCCAGCCTCAATCTCCGTCTTCATTTTGGTAATAAAGCAGATTTAGTTTATTTTAGAGCAATCGGAATGTCTTCCGTGCTTTCTGAGAATTTACGTGCTTGTAGTGGTTCCAAAAATAACCAGTGACAAGCACAAAACCGAAACTAACTAGGGAGGGAAAGATCGCGGGAAAGCCCCTTTCTTCAGGGGATTCCCGAAAATAATTTCCTAGAAGCCTTATTGGCTGAAGATTAAGGGCGCGCGGTAAAATAGTCATCCGGAAAATAGTGACGTCTGGCGGGTCATTTTCAACCAATCAGATACGCTGAATCGAGCGCGGGTTCTTAGAAATCAGGGGTTTTCACCGAAAAAAAAACAATTGGGGTCTGACTATTTGGAGTTGTTTATTATAAATTTGCAAGCCTGCTATTCCAAGAACGAGAACTCGTTGGGTGCATGAAAATACGCCAGAACAGAGGAGCGAAGCATTGAGTGAGCAATTCTACGGCAAAAGAAGGTAATTTGTTCTCTTCTTTCATCGGACAAAAAAAATGTTTACGTTACTAAAGAATTCACTATTTTTTCCCGATCGCTTTCGCTTTGTTTCCCCTGCCTAAATGTTTTAAAACCAAGAGTATCATATTAAGTTTCTGCCACAATTCGATGACGTTGAAAAACTATCGATTGGTTTCTATCTGTTTTCATGTACAGGTTTCAAGCCTTGACGTTGCCTGAAAATTGCAACTTAAAATTTGTTGCTAGTTTCCTCTTATCTGAATGCACGCTATGTTAGACACGTTAATTGAAAATCAGTGGCGCTTGATATGTGTTCCTCTGCTTCTTCTTGCAGGTTTTGCGAAAATGTCTTTAGACATCGCGTCAATTGCAGCTTTTAATCCCAACAGACAGGCGGTACGTTGTTTATGGCGAAACTAGGAAGTTTTTAAATCGAACGCGTAAAATTGATGTCGAAATGTTAATTTCATATTTGTTTCGGGCATGGCTGATCACGCCATCATCTCCGCGACCCCACATTATATTTCTTTTCCCACTGAAAGGTGCTTTGTATTCTTTGAATTGTGAAATTCATTTTTAAAAACCAATTTCTAGATCACGGTGTTAAATCTGACCAGGGGATAAGTCATATGTTAATGTTTGTAGTCCCACCTCTAAGAAATTCGACTCATAATAATATCGCGTTATTTCTAATTCTACGCAAGCTATGAGAAGGTCAAAAGTGTAATCGCCTACAGATCAGCCTTTGTGGGGCCTGAAGCAAACAAATTGGGTTTAGTATCTTGATAAAAAAAGTTAGATGAAAAATAGACAAGTATCTAAATTTTGTCTCTGTTTTTAAGGTAATTGTCGTGTTTTCAATACAAAAACGCATGCGTAGTGTAATTCAAATTCTTGGAAAGGATGATTTGCATTGATATGAGTGACTTTGAATAGCCATAAATCATTATTAGATCTGTGATCGGGCATGCATACCCTTTTTTTTACAATGGAAAATCTTAGATTGTAATTGTGAATGACTAAATGTCAAGGAGATTAATACCACAAAATAGGTTAGGGTTCTTCACAGTTCAGCACAATCATGCAACTATGACAACAGCGCTCACAAAGGAATATTTTAGTGCTGTACTTTGAACTTGATATATAATGGTGCAAATGAAAATTGACACCCAATAGGAAATTGGAAGTTTCTAGGGATTTGGACCCAGAAGAGATTAAAAAAAGTTTCAGATGAGTTAAAAAAGGCCTGGGTTTTCAGCAAGTTAGGACTTGGAGGTAAATATGTCTAAGACTATAACAATGTATAAGCTCTATTCTAAGAAATATCATGCAACCCATGATAAAAGCTTATTTTTTTAACTTGATGTTTACAGAGTGGGGAACTCGCAGTGTCAATGTTAAAGAAGTGGCTATCATCTTATGGCCATCCATCAACAACAGCAGGACCAATAATAGCGTCTACCATCACTATCGAAGCCATTCAAGATCTGCTGCATGCAAATGGCTTTCCCATTGAAGGTAAATATGTGTGATTTACTGACAATAAAATTTTATTGCATGTTTTGTGTTAAAGAGAGAAATGAAGCACAACCTAATGTACAAGCATGGGTCTTGCAATACCTTTTCCTCTCGCCATGAGTAAAAATTTCTAATAAAATTTTCTCAATCTCTGTCTTTGATGACAGCACCCCAACATGTGGACTTGTGTCCTGGACCATTTGAAGACACACAGTTTGATGCAGTAGTGGATGTTGAGACCTCTGATGATTGTATGGATAATGGAGGTAAACCATATTTATCCCTGTTTTTTTTCCTGCATTCAAATTCTGACTCCCCCTATCATATTTGTTTCTAAAATTTTGTAAGTAATTCATTGATTCTTTCCATGTTTGAATCCCTAACGCTCAACGAGATAGCATCACATCTTTGATTGAATTAATCAATTTGCTATTCTTTATCAAGTTTTACACAAATGGTTTTCAAATTATGGAATAATACACCTAACAAAAACTTCTCTGTATGTGTTGTCTAAATGTATGTTTGTTTTTGCTTTTTGTATTGATTAGTGACTGATAAATTTGTGACTACTATAATTACAGATCTCAAATTTACAAACCTTGATGCTTGTTCAGAATATGGATATGGTGGATCTGACTTCTCGGAAGATGAAATCAACTTTTTCCAAGGTTAATACTGCATTGTTTTCATATATAATAGTCAGTATTAACTAGGGAAGATATTCAATCTTTGAATGAACCAAAACAAATTATTGAATTTGTGACTGGGTTGGGAAAAAGAAGTATAAAGAAAGTGCAAATTTCTACCCTAAGCTATATGATCTTCACTCAAACAGGTCTATTGATATAGAAATCTTTAAGGTCTCTATATTCTGTTGCCAGTGATTTAAATTCATTATTTCTTATCCATAATAGATCTGCCACTGAGTCCTGACTCACCATTGTTCTGTGAGTCAGCTGATATTGACTTTGGATTTGATTCAGGAATTGAGGCTGAGATGGATGAACCTCATGGTAATAAAAAATCATTCGGCAATGTTTATGATTTATGATTCTACCCTTAACCCTTTACACCATGACATCCGTATTCATATATTCTCAATTGTGCCCTTGGGCCTACTCTTAGACACCTTCCAGAAAACTCAGAGTAGAAATTATTTGAAGGTGATCACCCCACCATGAGGTATGCATTACAGAGAACAGTGTTTGGTTAGTAATTTAAGCATTCATTCTTAATAGATGGGGCAGAAGAAAAAGATGGCAAAAAAGAGGAAGGAAAGACTTGTGAAGACAAGAAATCCACCGATGAATCAAAGCAGAAAGACAGTCAGAATGAGCAGTCAAGTCCACCAAAGCCAGTCAACAGTAAGTCTCATTTTACAACACTAAGTGCTCTTTCACCCCTTGCAAATCAAGCAAGGTTGAATTTCTTCTTGTGAAATAAATGTTTCTGAACAAAGTTTTTTTTTTAAATCATTCTATCAGAGAAGACAAAAGCAGAAGACAAAAGCAAGAGAGTGACAGACAAGAAAGATGTTGTAGATGTTAAAGAGGAAGGTGACGATAAAGATGATGATGATGATGATGATAATGAAGAAGAAGAAGATGGTAAGAATTCAAATGTAAATAAATCAGTGGCTTGTTACCACCTAAAAAAAAACACTTTGTAGTTCGCTAGCACAGTAATATTTGTTGATCAACAATTATAGCAGTAGGTGGCATATCCATTTTTTAAAAAATTTAATTTTCTAATTGAACAGTTTAGATCTAATTTGCTATAAATAAATATGAAAATTTGTACCTGATGCATGATTAGCTATACCAATTTAAACATTGTGAAACCTGATATTGCTTCAGAATACATCATCGCATTATTGTCATTGAACAGATGTGTGCCAACTTTAAAATATTTGAGGTTAATGCAATGGATTTTATCTTCATCTAATTCTCCAGAGATCATTTTTGTGTGAGGAAAATGATTTTTTGCCTTGAATCACCACAGAATTATTCAACCACTTGATGATTTTCTTCTAGATTTTCCACACATCCACTGTCAATACCTCTGGGAGTTCCTTCATCAGATTTTGCTGGAAAAACAGAATAAGTATATTGCATGGAAAAATCAAACCAAAGGAGTGTTTCATCTTCTTGATCACAATGGCTTGGCCCGCCTTTGGGGAAAACAGAAAAACAGGAAAAATATGACATACGAGAAACTAAGCCGTGCCCTCAGATACTATTACAGCAAAAACATCCTCAAAAAGGTTCCTGGTCAGAGACTGACTTACAAGTTTGTTCGCAATCTTAATGGAAAGAAGTATCCCAACTGAGCTAGAAGCCAATATTTAAATCAACCATACCTGAAAAGAAGTTTGCTTGTTGATCTGATGTTGCCGATAAGTGCGAGGGGTGACAAATTATGTCTGCTTTTTTCAGAGCAGACTATGGTCAGTTGATAAAAAGCAACCTTAAGTAAAGAATACCTTTAGATTCATAATGAACAAGCATATATCTCTACTCATTACATATGAACTAACATGTAAATATTGAAGACACTCACATTTTACCCTTAACAATCTCTCACTCAGAGTTTTAGGTGAGTGCATTTGTACATATTTAGCTCATAAAGAGAAAGATGTACATAACCCTCAACACCCTAACATCAGTATGCATATTCTCCATACTGTTCTCTATACATTAAGGTTAAAGATGTAGACAAGGAGAATTTGATTTAATATCCAAAGATTTTTTTGGATGGTGATCATTTCCTTTATTCTCATGACCTTAATGTGTGATTCAAGGGTGATATTGTGTGAAGAAATTAGATGCTACTTCTCTTAGGTGTTTGAGGGTTAGGGCAGTTTCCATTGATCGTCTGATTGTTAAGCAAGGCAATGATTTCACATGTTCATAAGGAATAAATAAGTGAACAGAATCGAAAGTTATGGACGTTCAAGCTGTTCGAAATATTTGAACAGTAAGAGAAGTAAGTGACTGATACCTTACAATCGCCAATGGAAAAAGTGTTCCTTAAAAGTTGTTGACCCTTTGAAGAATATTGACACTTAACTGTTCAATGCTTTCACTATTACTTGCAAGGTAACAAATTGTAAGGCACTCAAAGTGCTCTTTGATTGTTTGATATAGTGATTGTAAGTGTAAGATCCTCAAGCATGGAAGTAAAAACTAAATTCTTTTATGAAAGTGTTGTGCAAATTTTCTTGTAGATATCAGGTAACTGTTGGCTCGTGTGCGTGTACAGTTGTGGTGGCAAAGGGGTCTCTCATAGAGGGAATAAGTTTCTAAAGTTTTCTCACTAATGGAGGGCTAACGCTCGAAACATCAGCTTTAGAAAGTCTTTACGGTGGTCAAGACACATTATCAACTCAGTTCATAACACCAAATTATCTTATCCACGGACGTAGCACCACAGCTTCTTTGGAAACTTACCCCCTTTATTCTTACCGTATCGGCCCATTATTCAACATTCTCCTCTTTGTGAGGATTTGTGAAAACGTAGTTCACAAAACAGAACAAACTCATCTGATGCTGGCTGCAATTTGAAACGGATGTTGTAAACAAAATGGTCCATTTATTAAAACTCGAGTTTAACGCAAATTTATTTCTGGGTTTGCGCAAACTCACAGAGCCTCGGTCTTTTCTCAAGACCGCAAGAAACAAAAGTTATAGACATGAAATTCACACGGGGTTTGCACAGATTCGCAAAACCTTGGACTTTTCTTAAGACTGCAGAAAACAAGAGTTAAAGACATCAAATTTTAACGGTGTTCCATGAATAAAACTTTCGAGCCCATATGAGCTCCTTTGGTCACTTATTTGTGTATCCTTAGCTTCCGTATTTCGCCAGGTTGAAACTTTCGCCTTGAAACTGGAAGCTATTTGCGAAAAAATGCCGTAAATCAGACCCTCACCCACGTGGAACCAGACAGAAGATTTAAAGCCTTGTCCGATTCACAGTCATAACCAAACCTTCCGCCAACTTTACTGAAAGACGTTTTTCCTTCTTTTCACTAGCGTGCGACAAGGTCCCCATGAGGGATCGAACTTCATACCTCCGGATTCTGCGCTGCGATGCTCTACCACTGAGAAATCTGTAAGCGGACGCATAAATGGTTTTTCATCCTGTAAAACAAATATATTTCATGTTGCATTGGATCTGTATATACAAAACACATCAGGGAAGATTTTAAAATTTTGTGAGAATATAAGTGACACACTCGGCAGCCGCTCATCACGGTCCACTTTTTTTATTGTTACCACATTTTGAAGTCATCTTTGATGTATAACTAAACAGACGAACGACAACATGAAAACTAAAAGTTACTCAGACCACGGAGGTTTCATGTATTGCATAGTATCAAGAGAAAATAATGGTACCCAAGCATTTGTAGAGAGAAGTGTGAAAATGTTGGAAACAGTCTTCACCTCTTGTTGTCAGTTTATGACCAAAGAGATTTGAAGTTTTGTTAAATTGACCAACCTTGACGAAGAAAGTTTGAATCAACGAACTGAAAAATCAGTATTTGTTGCATATAAGAACGATTGATTGCCTGGCAGACTTATTGATTAAGTGATAGACTGATGACGGACTGACTGGCTAATTGACTGACTGACTGTTAGATTGAGTGGCTGACTGACTGACTAATTGACTGACTGACCGACTTATTGACTGACTAACTGACCGACTGAATAGCAACAGACTGACTTACTGTCTGACTTATTGACTGAGTGACC